GACAAGTGATTTCTTTAATCAGGGCATTAACAACCTGATTGTAAGATGGAAAAGAATGATTGATAAGAATGGAGACTATTTCATTTAATAAATATTTTGTTTTGATATACAAGTTGTTCAGGTGATTTCATCTAATAAAAAAGTGACATTAATTTCTTGACGATGTAATATATTGGTTTATGTGTTTTGTAGTACAGATCACAGTTTATTGTCTGGCTTTGATTTTTTCAAATTAATTGCCTAAAAAGCATTTATTAATGGTTTAAAATTTTTGTTTGTGTTTTTTCAAATAGAAAATGCTTTTGGATACCACAAAACTACCCCTAAACCAATGTAGGGCATGAAGAGAGCTTTCATTTGATATATCACTGACTCTTATTAGTCAAGCACCCACTCATCAACACCCTATTTTTATTGCTAACACTTGCCCTTTCGTCTCCATAAAATGGGGGAGGAATATTTAGCAAACATGGTGATCTTATTATAGCCAAACTAGTGGAAATACGGTTCCCTCGAAATAAACAGTGCAAGCTCACTTTGTAATAGAACTGTAGACATTTTTTAATTGTTGTTTGGTGTACGATAATTTAGTATTTTGCTTATCGGAGATTTATATATTCGCAACTGCAACCTCTCACTCGGACACTTCCGTGGCCGGGAACTGTAATTCTCTGGAACTCCCTACTAGTGTTCACTTTATTATTCATAACTGATTTAAAAGACCATTGATATATTTCTTCAATATTTAAAAACTTCAAAAAGATATGTCTGTATGATGTATTAGAACTATTCTTACAAGATGTATGACTTTTTCTGCTCTGTTTTAAGATGGTTTTACTTGTATCCTATTGGGCATTCACCTTCCTCATGATTTCAATATCTTGTTTCACTGCCTCTTGTCACTGTTAGTGTGCCACATTTTCCCATGGTGTGCATTGGTTACGCAGCTAACTTGGGAATAGTTTCATCATTATAATTTCTAATATATCTTTTAGTAATTATAATGGATTCACCTATAAATTAATAGAAATGATAATTTTGTGGTATTTTATGTAGTTTGTCACAAACCAGCATAAACTGTGAAAGGTTTTATTCCAATAGTAACAGGAATTAGGTCAAGGGGCGTGTTATTGAAAGCAAAATTGTTAGACATTGAGGTAGATGAATGTCTAGTTAATTAGGAGGGGGCTCAAATCTAGACACTTGTTATTTTTTTGCATTTATTGAGTTTTGCAACTTCTTTTTATGCACACAAAAAATACTAGAAAAGCACTTATTAAATAAATGTTAAATAAGGTAAATAAATTTATGTTAAATAACATATATATATATATATTGGACTAACGATTGTTTTATTTTGAAAGATAAAAGTTGCCTAGGACTCTCTGAACCTCTGATAGGGCATGCTTCTGAGTATAGTTGTAACCATTTGAATAATTCAAGCATTAATGTTGATGATTTGATATATAGAATACATCATTTTTATTTTAGTTTACATTGCACAATACAATGTGCTGTGGTTGATTAAAAAAAACTTATTTAAAAAATCATAGGATAATTTTGAAATAAAATGGATGTGCCAGTTACTTAATAAATTGAGTTTGAACTATATAGTGATCAGTAGAGCTAGAGATTAACTTAATCACCACGAATAGTGATTTTTAGGTCTTTAAAATCTCCAAATAAAATGCATTAAAATGAACTATATAGGTATTTGGATTAAATTGTTGAAGTTTTTATTATAAAATTAGCCAAAATTGAGTTACCAGCCAGTGATTGCAGTTAATCTGATGTGAAAGAAGACATATGCTGTCAAGATAACATGTGGCTAAGTGTACAGAAGTCTTGAGTGTCAAGCCTTTTGAGAAACATGTTAATCCAACAATCTTTAATCCTTCCTCGTTAGAAGAGCTCAGATGATTGTTATAAAAGAATAATTTCATAAATATTTACCGCACACTTTAAATCCATGCTTGTACTGTTTCTTGTTTTTTGAATTCCTTAAAGATGTAATATTTTTGTCATAGTTAACTTTTCCATTATATCAGAATACAGCACCAGATTGTTGAGTATTGGACAACAAAACTAGTCAGTGAAACATGAATATACTCAATTTATATCAAGGAGTAAAATTCTCATTTGTGTCATATATTTAATAAACTTGCTTTTATTTTCTTTAGAAGTCCAAAAAAGAAACGGATGCTGCTTTAGCTGAATTACCAGAAGATGAATTGCAAAAACTTCTAGAAGAAGCAGTCACTTTCAATAGGCCCAGTAGTGAAGATAGTTACTTGCTCCAGAAGTTAAAAGAAGAACATGCTGAACTTTGTAAGGATGTCAATCAACACACAACACTTAAAGCAGATGTTTCAGGTGCATGCCGGAACCGACGGTCACGGAACTGTGTTAGTAGGACATCTTCCAAGAATAGAAGTGCGTGTATGAGTGAGTTCTTCTCTTGTGACCCTGGCATCTGGGAAGATGTTGCCAAACAAAGTGAGACTTTTGTTCGAAAGAGAACTGGGATGTTGGGACGAAGCAGAGAGGACTGCATAGTAAAAGGTCTCGTTACAGTAGGGTCAAAACAACTTAAGTCTCAGTCTTCTGTAGATTTAACTGCTACCAAATCTTATGATCCATTTGATATGATGTGGTCATCGGGGAAAGGGAGGAGAAGTAAAGGTCTTAGGGTTGAGCGTGCCAAGTCTCTGTCGGACTCTCCATCAGAGGTTAAGTTTCTTAAAGACAGTTCTTTTCCAGTTAATAGGACAAGTGATTTATCATTTGAAATGATTTCGTCCAGCCTAGACACAAAATCTAAGTTGGACAGTTCCAAAAACTTGGATAAAAAGTCTGTTCATATTCCTTCCACTCAAAGTGATCTTTCTAGTCCTGAACTTGGTGGATTGTTTAACCATCTAGATAGCTCTGCGTTAATTGAGAACCAGGAAGAAACTGAAGATATAACAGATCTTTTCACCCAGGTTAACTCTTCAGTCTTTCGACAAGAGCTTAGAAACAGCAATCATACACAAGAATTTGAACTGAAGGAAATAAAGAAGAGTGTGGAAGAAACAGTAAATGAAGAAACTCCACTGCTTAAATCATCTCTTTCATCTTGTGATAATCACTATACTAGATGTAAAAATGATGATGATGCAGATGATAGTTGCTCTGGTAGAGTAGAAGTTGACGATAACACAGCAATGCCTCGTAAGGTAAGATAGTAACTTTATTTTAAGTTTCTTATGTATGTGTAGAAAAAGATGCTCTAGCCATGCTATCATATAGAGAAAATTGGAGAAATATTTTGATAATCCTGCTAAATATGGTATATTCTCTTTTCAAAATCAACACAACACTTGAGCTATGAAGGGACCATTTTGTTCATCTATGCTGTTCTTGGGCTGGGGGCAGCAAGGGACCATTTCGTTCATCTAGGCTATTCTTTGGCTAAGGACAGCAAGGGACCATTTCGTTCATCTAGGCTATTCTTTGGCTAAGGACAGCAAGGGACCATTTCGTTCATCTAAGCTGTTCTTGGGCTAAGGACAGCAAGGGACCATTTTGTTCATCTAGGCTGTTCTTGGGTTAAGGACAGCAAGGGACCATTTTGTTCATCTAGGCTGTTCTTGGGTTAAGGACAGCAAGGGACCATTTCATTCATCTAGGCTGTTCTTGGGCTAAGGACAGTAAGGGACCATTAGTTCATCTAGGCTGTTCTTGGGCTAGGGACAGTAAATGACAGTTTGGTTCATCTAGGCTACCGTTGGGCTAGGGACAGCAAGGGACCATTAGTTCATCTAGGCTGTTCTTGGGCTAGGGACAGCAAATGACAATTTGGTTCATCTAGGGTACCCTTGGGCTAGGGACAGCAAGGGACCATTAGTTCATCTAGGCTGTCCTCATACACACCCATCCTTGGGAAAAGTAAAAAAAAAATAAACTTTCCCATTACTTTAAAAAAAATTTTAAACTCTCCTCTTAACTCCTGTAAAGTGCTGGTCTCTACTGCTGCCCAGCATCAACTCATTCCATAAGTCAGTCAACCTGTTAGTAAAATAATACTTTCTCAATTGGAGCCTAGCCTGTCTTTTTCCAAATCTTAAACCTATGTTTTCTTATCCTGTTATTTTTAGATTAGAGCACATAGAAATCAGAGGCCTTTATCCTATCAATCTATGGATAATCTCTTAAACTTCAAAAATATCACATTTCTTATGCTTCTTTTCTCAATAGAAAATTGAAAGATCTTAACTTCTGAGAAGATAATCTTTCCATCCCTAGAGTCATCCTAATAGAGACCTCCTTTGAAGCCTTTCCAGTAATTCAATTTACTGTCGTAAATAAAGAGACCAAAACTTAACAGTATTCCAAGTGTAGCCTTGTTAGTGATTTGTACAGAAATAATTACCTCTTCTGTCTTTTAACCAGTGTTTATAAAATTCTATTGGATTTACTAATAACAACAAAACTTTGATGGATGTAGTGAATTATTTCACCACTATGCCATATTTCAATGGTAGTTTTTACTTTTTCTGCTTGTGATAAATGTTTTAAAACCTTATTTTTCATCAAACAACTTTTAGCAATTATTACTACAGAATAATAATAAAGGTTATCCATTAAGTTATACTTTTGCACAAAAATAATTTAAAAGTGTAAAATAGCATTGTAAAAAAATTGATATAAAAAGTTATAACTTTAGAATCAATACGTAATATACTTTTTTAACCCTTTTGAGATGGGTCATGGGTGAAAGGCCATGTTATCTCGTTTGTTGACTCGCATTCAAAGTTTTATTGAACTACTATTTCATGCATTTATGTCAGTAACTTTGGTATCAAACTGTAGATTATAATTCAAATTTTAGTACTATATATTACTCAATTTCTTAATTTAAAAGTAAATATTAAAAACACAGATAAACATTGATTTTTGTGTGTCTCATGGTATGTTGAATGCAGCACTGGTTCAAATTAGATGTTTGTGAAGTCAAAATACTAAGTCTATAGTTTCGATTGAATTAGAAACTCGAATTACTAATATTGACAAGCTAGAATATAGAATAAGAGCCTCTTATCTTTTCAGTTTGCTAAGATATTGGTCATGTAATAAATCAAATCACAGTGGCACCCCACCCACCTTTTTATATTTTTGGAAATGCTCCCTTATATACACTTACTTCTATATATGACTTGAATAACCAATGAGAAGTTCAGAATGCTGCCCTAGTGGCTTTCTCAGCCATTTTAATGGACTTGGCACCATTTCTTTCTTTTGAACCAATATTTCAAAGAGGTAGGATGTGTCTTTAGTATGCTTGAAATTTCATATTTTTTTAGACTAAAATACATCTTAGTTACTGAGCTAGATAAATTTTAGTTATTCAAATATATATATAAAACCATAAAAAAAATATTTTGTTTCATATACTCTACGTGCAAAATTTTTAAAGGCTTAGCAACCTACGTCAACAAGCAACTGAGTACAAAGGTCGTAACTAGAAGAGATAATTGTTTCATTTACTTCTTTAGTTACTGTTCTATATTTTAAGAAAAATAAGTTTAAGAACTTATTTCAAAATAGCAATAATCTATATACATATATAATGTATAATAATTGAAATTTGACTGTATTTTACAAAACACTAGTCTACTAAAACTCAGCCAAGACAAGTTACTTTGCACAGACCAAAGGTCAGTTTTATGTTATTTGATATGGTAATGTGAGCTGTGTCATTGTAACTTCTGTATTGTTAGCCAGACACGGCTGAAAGGTCAATATAATGAATATATATATAAATGTATAATGTTATGATATTTAATCTATTTAGTCTAAACATTAATGTTTTTGTGTTATAATTTGTGTTCATTCTAGAATTAAAGAGACATAATTGATATTTATTTTCTAATTTGTTATAGTGGCTGTGAGATTGGTCAAATCTACCGAACCCGAACAGAGATTAACTC